CCCTGACTTACTGGCACGGCCCCACGACTTCCCATCCAGCCCAGGGGCCCCCAAGTGGCAGAAGGTGCGGGGAAGGATCTACGTATTCCTTTAATGTGATAAGCCAGTGCCCCCTAAGAAATGTAAATGCCCACCGACTTAAAAAATCCTGGCTACGGGCCTGTTCCCAAGTATGCAGTCTGTGTACAGGGTTCACTCGATTGTTCTTTTATACATGCATTGATTAATTCTCAATTTAAATTCACCTCTTGTACAGCTGAATTTAAACCCTGCGTATATCTGGGCACCGATCCCCAGTTTCATTCGTAAAGTGAACGTGCATTGGCTTTTTCTTTCAGACCGAGGTATGCATGCACATGCAGTTTGCATGTGCGTTCACTGGCATTAAAAAGGTGGTATGATACATTTAGTAGCTGGTTGATTTGAATTCAGTGTTACGATCTACTTCTCTAATGCAACATAATCTTTTTGTATGCCATTCTCTGCATCTTATATGTTCAGTAACTGTCTTATCACAAGGTCATACAATACTGTTGTGTTCTTGTTTGGTATACATGTTGTAAGAAACTCAGTAAAATTAAAAAGAAAAAGAAGAAAAAGTGTGAACTGTTGTTGGGAGGATAAAATGGGTAGTTCCGTGCTGGAGAGCGGAATAAAAAAGTTCTCGGGTACAACGAGGGGCCTGGAGATCTCCCGGTATCACAGCTCATCTCCAGATGACAAAAGACAGTCCCCCTGGAGGAAATGGCTGCTTTGGAGGGTGGACTCTATGGCAATGTACCCTTCTGATGTACCTCCCCTCCCCTCCCCAAACCCCACCCTCTCCAGGCTCCACCTACAAAATCTCCAGGTACGTGTTAACCGAGAGATGACAACCCCAGGTGGGACAGATCTGAACCAAACAGGTAAATACAAAAGGACTTGCAAAATTCGTAACTCATTTGCTCCTCCCCCCCCTGCAACAGTTCTGTAACAACACTGTTATATCACAACAAGCCTGTGGAGTTCCCACTTTACCAACCAAGATAAGACTGGGTAGTCTGTCAAGGGCTGCACAGTGAGTCTGAAGGCAGTGCTGGGATTGGAAGCTCACATTCCAAGGTTTAAAGAAGAAGAAAAGAGATTAGATTTATACCCCGCCCTTCACTCGGAGTCTCAGAGTGACTTACAAACTCCTTTCCCTCCCCCTCCCCACAACAGACACCCTGTGATGCAGGTGGGGTTGAGAGAGCTCTGATAGAAACTGCTCTTTTTCAAGAACAGATGTGCCAGAACTATGGCTTGCCCAAGATCATCCTGCAGCTGTAAGTGCAGGAGTGGGGAATCAAACCCGGTTCTCCCAGATTAGAGTTTGCACACTTAACCACTACACCAAACTG